ATCATGAGCAGATCAAGAATCTAACCTTAGAACGCGGATCTAACGGTTGGATCTCTAGGAATCAAGCTTGGAAATCTACTCTCTCTCAAGAACTCTTCTCCCTCTTCTAGAGCTTCTCTCTCTACTCTCCAAAACAAGATACAACAAATGAGGGGTTTCTCTCTCTGCCGGCTGACTTAACTCTCGGCTCGGACACGTGGCAACGGTTGGTTGGTTCTCTTCAAAAAGGTGATAGATTGACAAGACAAGGCCCTGACAAGGCGTATCTAGCAAGCTAGATGGCAAGGGAACTCCGGCAAGTAATGATCTCGGCTTAGGACAAAGCTTCGGCAAGTAAGGCTCCAATGACCTCGGCTAGGACGGATAACACTTGACCTAGCTGTGCCACACCTCGGCCTAGATGTGCCACACCTCGGTCTAGGTCATTCCAATCCCAGAACAAGATCACTAGGTGCAAGGATTAAGGATCTCGGATGCCTAGGTGATAACACCTCGGCCAATATGCCTAGGTGATGGTGGAGGTCACAAAAGCGGTTCCAAGATGGTCCAAGGTGTAAGAGGTTCAAAGGTGTGACCTAAGCTTAAGATGACCTCGGCTTAACATGACCTAGGCTTAACATAGCAAGGAAGGAACAAAGCATGCATACAACACTTAGGGAAAACATGATAGCATCAAGACAAGACAAGAACCTTTACCTAGGCAAAACAAGTCCAAGTCTACAAATGCAAGCTTAACAAGACAAAATCATGCAAATGTACATGAACATGACTAAGACATGAATGTGGGTTATTACACTTATGCAAGTATGCTAAAGCGTAAAAACTTACAGTGTACTCTGAGCCAAAGCAAAAGCTAGTTAGAAACAATGCATGATCCTAACTATGTAAAATGCCTAATGCAACACATGCAATAATGCGACTAAATAGGCTCGGCTATCTAAGATGGCATATGAATGCAACAATTTGATAACATGCTTTGAAACACGTATTCAAATAAGTATTGAAATACAATGCAGTTTGTATGATGCGCCAAGCCCGGTGTATGTAATACAAATGAATGATGCAAACATGCAAAGCATAAGGTATGCTAATCAAAACGTGCCCTAAACTAACCATCGAAAACGGTTTAAGTAAAAGGGAGAAAGACGTGGGGTTGGAAGACATGCACACACTCACGTGCGCTTATTACAACATTGCGCCCTCTCGAAGGAGGGTCCAAATAAATAAGCTAAGCTACACTAAGCTAAGCTAATTATTACAAACCAACTAATTAACTATTCTAGATAATTAATTATTACAAACCAATTGAATAACTAGCTATGCTAAGCTAATCAAAATATTACAAAACAAATTAAACTAATTAATTACAACACATGTATTAATTAGCTACAACTAGCTAATAAAGCAATTAAGCGGCCTCGCGGGCGAGGGAGATATGCATGTTCGGTTGCCTTCCTCCCGAAAATCCATCGCATTGCCACCGGTTGCCTCTGTTTGCACTTTTCTTAATCTCTGAATACTGTACCAGCTTCTAAATTGTTTCTGCCCTAACTCAGACACACTTTTGCACAAAAATGGACTGGTGGCCGGTCGACCACAAAAAATGGTTGTCGGCTACCTTAACTGGCCGGTCGGCTAGTATAAGTGGCCGGTTGACTACTGCAAGTGGCCGGTCGGCCACCCCTTTTTCCAGGCTCTGGTTTTGTTGCAACAAAGAACAACAGAGGCACATCAATGTATTTTGCAAGGAATGTGCGTACTGCCACCCTCATTATCATGTCTCAAGCTCAAAGGAGTGTGGCACTTGGCTTTCAAGCCACCAATCAAGCATTTTCATGCATGATGGCCAAAGAACCAAGCTTGTACAAGCTTAAGGAATGCACACATACGACTCAAAGGGCCACCACCCTATCATGCATAATCAAGGGTGACGGCGACCAAGAAATGTGACACGCTTCATCACTTTGAGTATGAAACGCCCCACATTTCTTATGTTTGGATTAACGTCCGATCCAAACACATACAATGCAACACAAATGCTTATCTTGTTCATGTTTTATTTTGCTCATTTTGTTTACACATTTTACATTACCAAGTCATTCTTTAACCGATTAAGTCTAATGTGATTGTCCTCTAATGGGAGAGGGGTCAACCAAAGGATGGTTTAAGACATGAGAGAGATCATGCCTTTGACTAGTAGAAACCCTCAAAAGAGGGTTAAAGCCATTGAGCACAAGTTCTATCTCAAGCTTAAACACAATCATAAGGCTAACCAACCCTCAAAACAAATGGAAAAATGAAGAAATGAGGGAGGTTGCAGACTTTTTGATGCTGAAATGGCATGCTAAAGACCTTAAATCATGCAAGCAAAACATGCAAGACATGTTCAAAAGCTAAAGATATTAAAGCTAGTGAAGAGCACTACACTAGAGGCATGCAATATCAAGCTTACACGACCAAACCAGCTCTAGACAGAGCTTAAACATGCCAAAATAGTGGCTAAATCATGATGGAATTGAAGCACAAAAAGTTATAAAAAACATGCCGATGTGTTGGCTCGCAAGCTAGGCTCAAAACACAACTTTCAAAAGCAATGAAAGAGTGAAGTATGTGAGAGTGTGACAAGGCTACATGCACTGAAATCATGTATAAAATGATGTTACAACATGCAACCATCTCATGCAACACATGTTAGAGACTTTAAAACATAAAGCTAGTAAAGGCCATTTGCACTATAGCTATACAAAGCATGAGTCATATGATCAAGACCACCCAAAATATAGTTAAATCATAGCAAATCAGTAGCTAAAATGTGCTGGAGTCAAGCTAACACAAGCTAGAATAACAGGCTAACTCATTAGGCATGCTAGACTAGTAAGCATAATCGCACTACAAGTGCAAAGAACAAGCAACAAGTGCTCCAACCAACCAAAAATAGAGTTGAGACATGTCAAAATAAGGCCTAAAACATGCTTGAAATAAGGTAACACAAACTACAAAAATATGCTACTTTGTAATGCTAACTACGCATGGAAGAGAGAGACAAGGAGGGGAGGCCACCCGCTCCATTTTTGGACCTCAAAACTAAGTTTTTACCACTAAAATTCCCTTGGAATTCAGTGGTTAAAAGGCTAAAAAAGATGCTTCAAAAGGCTTTGAAAAGTAGCACAAAAGGCTTCACAAGCCAAAGAGCAAAAGAGGAGACAACCCCCTTAACTCAACAAGACTTAAACCACCCTTCTAAAACCTTAAAAATAGAGCTTTTTATGGTTGAAAAACCAGGTCAAAAGAGTGTAAAAAGATGGCTAAGTAATGGATTAAAACAAAGCTTAAAGAAGGTAAGCTTATACGTTTGAAGCACAGCAGCAAAACAGGTCTTCTTTTGAGCTTAAACCAACTTTAGAAGCTCTAAATAGGCCTCCAAGAACCTTAGCTCCAAGATGAAGGTATTTGGTCAAGGGCCTCTTTGCAAATGTGTAGAGAATTTCCACTTTCAAGCACAAAATATAGAGAGAGAGGGAGAAAATTTGTTCACAAAATTTCTGAACCCTCAAAATGGGGAGAGACCTCCCCTTATATAGAAAAATAAGCAAAAAGTTTGCCCTCATCCCTCCATACACGTGTATGGAGGAGGCCTTCAGTGATCAACAGCTGGCACAACTGGCACATAAAATATCTCAAAAAGGAGAAAATTGGCCGTCGGCCACTTTAGGTGGCCAGCCGGCCACCTCCCCTAGCCGACCGACCACTTCAAGTGGCCGACAAGGAGGAAAAGTGGCCGACAATAGCCAAAAGTGGCCGACAAGGCCCTTTCCCCCTCCAGGCAAGAGGCACCAAGGTTTGACTCAGAAACAAGCACAAACAAGGAGAGTTTAGAGGCTCAAAGACAAGGCGTTCCGTCGAGAACTTCGGGCACTCAAAACGAGCAAAACATGCACAATCATCACGCGTACAAACGATGGCGTCTGAGTCTTAAGATCAGTCAAAAATAGGGTGTCTACACTATGGTTTTTTTTCCCCTGGGCTAATACTTCACTGTTTTCTTTCCTGGAAATTCAACTGCTCTGCATAGAATTCCCTATTAGAACATGTTTAGAAATTCTAATCATATTGTATCCTATATGTGTGGTTTATGATTAGAAAGTCAATTGTGCACTACTATGTCCACTGTTTTGAATTGCTTTTTATTAGACTTCAATCTAATCTTTATAAAAAGTCTTTGTTTCATCCCTAGACCTCTAATATAATTTTGCATGCTTATGTGATTTTAATATAATTATATAAGCATGATTCATTGTTTCTATCATGATTAGCGTATCTTTTTATTTTATAATTTTATATTCTAATTTGCATGTTCATGAGTGTTTGAATTCTTTTTTTAGTTAAAATAGTCATGCTAATTAGTTTATATTTTCCTAGTAAATTTACATGTTTATTAGATATTAGATTTTTAGAATAATTCACATATTTTAAAATTTCTAGATTTGTAATGTAATTTACATGCTAATTGCTTTCTAATTTTTAGTGTAATTTGCAAGCTAATTGTTTTATACTTTTATTTACATGTTAATTGTCTATAATTATGTATATGTTTAATGTGTACTAAGTTCATATGTAACTCTTGCCAATTAAAAAGGTGTAATTTAATTGTGGAGTTATAAATTTTATTTTTGTAACGCATCTAGCATTTTAATTCATTAGTTAATTTTATTATTAAATGGTTTGCTAGATAGTTTCAATTATTTTTTTTTTTTTTGATAAATGAATTTTTATTACCAAAGCATCAAGAAGATGCGAAAAGAATACAAAACCAACCCTACGAAGAGCAGGGGCCTAACTAACTATATCATCAACAAAGTCTAAAAGAACAAATAAATCAGGATTCAATCGCCCTAACACCCAGTTGTACAAAATACCCAGGAATTGAGACTCTAAACTGGCTAAGGACTGAGCATGTTCCTGAAAGATCCGACAATTTCGCTCCAACCATACGAACCACATCAAACACAAAAGCGCCAATGCCCATGCCCGTCGCCGCCACTTCCCAACTCGATCACCCCCCAACAACGCAACACATCCATAACCTGCCTCGGTTGAACCCACGCCACACCAAACATAGAGAAAACAAGCACCCACAAACGAGATACAACCAGACAATGAATCAGCAAATGGCCTACTATCTTCACATCCGCACAACACATACAACACCAATTAACCAGAATATGATTCCGACGAACCAGATTATCAATAGTCAAGATCCGACCAGAAACGGCTGTCCACACAAAGAAAGCCACCTTCGATGGAACACTAGAAACCCACACACCATGCCAAGGGAACACTCCCCTGCCACCACTACATAAGGACAAATAAAAAAACGAGACTGAAAAAACACCTTTTGCGCTAGAGACTCCCCAAACCACATCATCCTCTCCCTGTCGGTGTACCTGGATCTTATACAAAAATGTCATCAACTCCACCAACTGCCCTATCTCCCAATCTTGAGTATGGTGATGAAGAACAATATCCCAAACCAACGCCGAATCATTGTCGGCCAAACAAGAACCCACTAACACCTCCGGGTCCATCACCAACCGGTAGATCAAAGGAAAATGCTCGTGAAGGGTAACCCCCCCACACCACTTATCCTTCTAAAGTCGCACCCGAGCTCCATTGCTTACCCGAAACTGAACCCGTTCCCAGAATTGAACCCTCCCCAGCCAAATCCCCTTCCATAAGCCACACTTATGAGAGCCTCCCACCACCCTAGTACACCACTCGCCCCTTCCCAACCCATACTTGGAGGCCACCACTGTACGCCACAAACGGTCCTGTTCCTTAGCAAACCTCCATAGCCACTTCCCCAATAAAGCCAAATTAAACTTACACAGCCTTCGCACCCTCAACCCCCCAACCTTCTTAGAACAACAAACCTGCTTCCAATTTGCGAGATGATATTGAAACCCCCCACCATCATTTCCCAACAAAAAATCATGTTGCAGCCTCTCCAATCGTCGAGCCACCGACACAGGAATGACATGAACTGACATAAAATAAGTCGGGGTACTACCCAGTACACTCTTCACCAAGGTAAGCCTCTCTCCCTTAGACAAATATTGCCTTTTCCACCTCGCAAGCTGGCACTGAACCCTCTCTAACACCCCATCCCACACCCCCTTCGCCTTATAAGATGCCCCCAAAGGCAAACCTAAATAAGACACCAGCAAATGAGACGCCTTACAACCCAAAATTACCGCCAAAGTCGGAAGATGGGCCACTTCCCTAACTGGAATCAACTCTGACTTTGCCAAATTGACCTTCAGACCTGATACCACCTCGAAACATAGCAAAACACACTGCAAAAACCCTAGTTGCTTGGAATCAGCCCCACAAAAAATCAAAGCATCATCAGCATACAACAGGTGAGAAATACCAACCCTATCTGCCACAGAAAAACCCTCCAACAAACCCACCTGCACCGCTCGAGACAACAACTGACTTAGTGCCTCCATGACCAAAATAAACAACAGAGGAGACAAAGTATCCCCCTGGCGCAAACCTATAAATGTCTTGAAGTAACCTGCCGACGTCCCATTTACTAAAACAGATATCCTCACCGTCGAAATACAAAACCAAATCCACTACCTCCACCGTGCCCCAAAACCCATGCACTCCATAATAGCCAGCAAACAAGCCCAACTAACATTACCATAAGCCTTTTCAATATCCAATGTACAAATCACACCTGGATAACCTTGACGCAAACGAGAATCCACACACTCATTGGCCACCAAAATCGCATCCAAAATCTGTTATCTATCCACAAAAGCATTCTGGGACTCCGACACTACTTCCTCCACCTGCAAACGAAGCCTATTAGCCAAAACTTTCGCCAACAACTTGTACACACTGCCCAACAAACTAATAGGACGAAACTGACGAATATCCGTGGCCTCTCCCACCTTAGGAATCAAAGTAATAAAAGTTGCATTAAAGCTCTTCCCAAACTGACCTGTTTGATAAAACTGTGCCATTACTAACACCACATCGCCCTTTACAACCTCCTAGCAATGATGGAAAAAAGCCATAGTAAATCCATCCGGACCTAGAGCCTTATCACCACTCAACCCCTTCAAAGCATCTCACACCTCCTGTTCTAAAAATGGCTCTTCCAAACTGCCAAATCTGAAATCATACCAAAATCCAAACCATCAATCCCCGGACGCCACCCCTCATCCGGCCGTCGAAACAAGTGTGCACAAAACCCAACAATCCCCGTGCGAACCACCTCCTCCTCTAACAACTCCACCCTATTAATCTGAATCGGTCCAATCTAATTCACCTGTCTATGCGTATTTGTCATCTGATGGAAAAACTTCGTATTCCAATCCCTTTCTTTCAGCCACAGACAACGAGATTTCTACCTGAAACTGACCTCCTCCATTTGAGCAATCCTAGCAAAATCAACCCTCAAACACTCCTTGCGAGACACCTCTTCAGCAGCCAAACCCACATCGATTTCCACAACATCCAAAGCCTGCAATTTAGCCCAATACCTCTGCCTTCTGCCCATCTAAATGGCCAAAAACCTCTTTATTCCATTGTTTTAAATTGGCCTTCAGCCATTTCAGTTTCTGTGCCAACATCTAACTCAGAGAACCAGATACCACATAGCTATCCTACCATCCCTTCACCCTATCAGTAAACTCATCCGATCGGAGCCACATATTCTCAAAACAAAAAGGAGAAAGACCCTGCCAAATACCCCCACCATCCAAAAGAATTGGCCAATGATCAAAAATCGGCCAGGACAACCGTCGCTAAACTGCCCCTGGAAAATGCTCCTTCTAATGTCCTGTTACCATAAAACGATCAATCTGGGAAAAGACACACCCGCGAGGCCATGTGTAATCCCCGCCCTGTAATAGTAGATCCACCAACTGCAATTCATCGATAAAATCAGAAAAAGTCTGCATCACACCTGAAATCTGACCCCCTCCAGACCTTTCCCTCGGCCATCTCACCAAATTAAAATCACCCTCTACACACCAGGGTAACTCCCACCCAAACGCAACACATGCTAACTCCTCCAGGAATGTCCGCCTTTTCCCACCCTGCACTGGACCATACATACCAGTAAACACCCAACGAAAACCATCCTCCACACATCTAAACAAACAGGACACTGAAAATGCCCCAACCTCAAACTCCTCCCTCACCACCACCCGACTGTCCTAACAAACAAGAACCCCCTTGCCACACCTAACGCCAAAAGGTACGCCCAATCAAAACACCGACCACCCCAAATCTCCTTTATGACATCTCTACCCAAACACTCCATTTTGGTCTCCTGAAAACAAACCACATCTGCTTTCACACCTCTAAGCAACGCTCCTACTGCCACACGCTTTCCTCTTCATTCAAACCAGCCACATTCCAAGATAAAATTTTTAATCTCACTTTCACAGAAGTTGTTTCTCCCTCCCATGCCTCTCCTTCTTCCTTTGCTCCCCAGTACAACGATCATAATTAATGGAGCACTCCAAATTTTGCAGCTCCTTCTCCCCTTTCTGACGGTGAGCCCCACTCCGAACCGCATCCGTTGACGAAACCCCACTACGCCAAGACATCTCTACCACTGAAAATAAACTCATAGCCTCTGCCTCATGCCCATCAAAAGAAATTTCTAATAACCGACTCACTTCGTCAATTCTTTCCAACACCCAATCAGAAACCTCCGGGGGTGAAGGCTCTGAACCTCTGAAGCAATCACCAGCAAAAGGCCCTCCCCCGCCTGTCCCATCATGCAACATTGCATACGATTGAAAAAAGCTAGGACTGGCAGCCTCCTCATCCCTAACCAAACCCAGACCTGCATCTGAACCCTCCACCAAATCTTTTCACTTTTCCAGCACTTGTGAAGACATGCCGCCCTTTACTTGTGACTCCCGCATCGGAACCACAGCCCAAGCCGCACTCTCAAGAACTTCTTGTGAATGAAGCTCTATCTGTACCCCAACCACACCAGTCAACCCCTCTGAAATCCTCTCCTCTGGAGTCATCCTTGCTGGACAGTCATGACCCAACTTCTCATCCCTCACCACTGACTGCGCAGGAACAGAACGGAAGTCCCCTCATACCGATCAATCGAGATGTTCACAGCCCACACACAGGAGCTATTAGATAGAGCTCCGACGTCTGGCAAACTATCCGAATCCCGTCGATAGTTAGAATCGCCTCGCCTCAAGGCCCCAACGCATTAGTCAACGATTCGAAAACCCGTCAAATAGTTGGGTTTACGTTTCGAGCAACAATTTGATATAACGGATCCCCGACAGCTGTGTGACGACTTGGGTCAAAACTAGGGGACCGAATAACTGGTCCAACTATCTGATGACTCCACCTATGAGTGGGTCGCCTAACTAGCCCAACTGGATGAGCCAAAGGCTGTCCAAAACAATCAGCATTTGAGAGGCCTAGTCCATTAAGTCGCGTGCCCAATCCATATAGCTGCCTGTAAAAACCCTATTTTTGATCGTCCTCAAGACTTGGATGTCCTTGCAGGTTTATCCAGTGATGAGTTTGATAGCTCATCGAGCGCTCGAAGTTCGCGGCAGAACGCCACAGGTTTGAGTTTTTTCAAACCCTGCATCAATTCTGTCTCATTTTTTTACCATGTTTAGGTCCTTTCAACATGATGTTGTTGATGGCCTGCTGGTCATATTTGGGCACTGCCGGCCATGGATCTTGGCCTGCCGGCCATCAATGAGCCCCTGACGGCCATCACTGATGGCCAACCAGCCACCAGTGTATCAGTCGATATTTTCTGATATTTTATGCCAGCTATTTGCACAAATTGAGCCATCTTCTTGCACTTGTATGGCTGGGTCTCTTTGAGGGGATTTTGTATTCTCTATATATAGAAGCTCCCTCTTGCATGTGGGGGGGTTGGAAATTTTTAAAGACAAAAAATCTCTCTCTAGAATTCTCTCTCTCTAAATATTTTATGCCTTATAGCCTAAATTCTTTAAACTTTTGCATATAAGCCCCTGATCAAACTTGATCACCATTGAGTTGAGGTTGCTTGAGGCCATCTTTGAGCTTTAGGAGAGGATATTGGCTTGGTTTGACTTGATTTTGGTGCCTAAATTGCATCATGTCTTCAAGAGGTAGAATACTTGTGTTTTAAGCTTAATTTAAATGCTTGTTTTTCCATCTTTACATATTGTTTTGAGGCTGGTTTTAACCTCTGAAAATCTCTGTTTTCATGGTTTAAAATGGTGGTTTGAGGTTTGATCGGAGTTAGAGGTAGTCCACCCTTTTTGTTGCTTGATTATTAAGTTGTTGTGCCATCTTTCAAAGCTTTCTAAAACAAATTTTTTGGCCCTTTTAACCACTGAATTCCAGGGGATTTCCAGTGGTAAAAACTATGTTTTGAGGTCCAAAATGGGAGGGGGTAGCCTTCCCTCCTTGTATCTTGTTTGCAAGCCTAGATAGCTTAACATGTGAGCATGATTTTCTAGCATTTTGTACCTTAATCTCAGCATGTTTTTGCTATTATTTTGGCATGTTTAAGCTCTATTTTGAGCTGGTTTGGTCCCTTGAGGCTTGCTTTGTATGCTTGTAGTGCAATTGTGCTTGATAGTTTAGCTTGTACTATGTTTTGGCCTTTTATTTTAGTTATTTTTAGCTTACTTCGAGCATGTTTTAGGACTCCTTTTGGGCTTTTTTAGGACTATTTTGAAGTGTTTGTACCTTTGGAGCTTTGTATTACACACCTATAATGTTGTGATCTTCACTAGTTTGGTGTTTTCGGCTTTTAAACATGATTTGCATGAGTTGCTTGCATGTTATAGTATCATTTTGCATGCCATTTCAGCATTGAAATCTCTGCAATCTCCCTCTATTCTTCACTCTTCCATTTGTTTTGAAAGTGGCTTTGAGCCTCTTGTTGGCTTGAGTTTGGAATTGAGACCCTCATGCCTGATGGTTTAATACCTTCGAGAGTTCATTACCAACAGCATGAGGCCTCTTTCATGCTCAAGGTACTTACGGTTTAAGCCCTCTTTCCATTAGAGGACACTCACCTTGGACTTAACCGGTTAAAGAATGAATCGGTAATTAAAATGAGTAAACAAAAGTGACAAGTAAAACTTGAGCAAGATAAGCATGTTATGTTGCATTATATGTGTTCAATCGAACGTTATATTGAACACAAGGAAGATTGGAGCATTTCATACTCAAAGTGATGAAATGAGCCAATCTTCTTGGTCTCCATCACCCTTGATCATGCATGATAGGGTAGTGGTCATTTCAGTCATATTTGTGCATTTATTGAAATTGCGCAACTTAGATCTTTGGCCATCATACAATGAAATTGCTTGATTGGTGGTTTTAGATCCAAGAGTGCCACTCCTTTGAGGTTTTGAGATGATAAGGAGGGACACAGTACAAATAAACCCCTGGAAAACCCTTCATTTTCCTCTGTTTGTGCTCTGTTGCAGTGTGGTAA